AAATTTGACTGCTAAAGTCTGTTCTATTTAGAATTTGGCTGCACAAAACAGGTCATTTCTCCAAGGGGAAATAAAGTACAAAAACGCTAAAGATATCATTTTGTAGGTTTTTTATTTAGCTTTAAGGGAAACATACAACAAAAAATATTCGTCAGCTTCTCTCATCATGTCTTGCACAGTAGTACTGTCAACCTCATCTACCATCCTTTTCCACCACTACTCCAAATCAGATGGTGTTTTGATTGTTTTGCCACATTTCTTCAATAACGATTGAACAAGTATATGAATCCTGATAAAATTTTCATTACTAAATAAACAATCCTTCCGGATCAAAACACTGTCAATAATTTCTTGCTACGACAACTAGAGGTGCTCCAGTAATTAAAAAGAAGCGGCTAAATACTAACTGGAACAGACTTTACTGCCTAGTAACTGCTGAGAAATTTGTGGAATTGTACCCCTGGTAAAGTTCTGTCCAGTTAGAATCCGGAATCACTTATTGTGTTGCAGCGGCACGGAAAGTGACCGCTGCAAGAATTATTTTACAGCGGTTTGTTTACCTAGGCGCCCACTTTCTGTGGTATAAATTTCACGGTGTTTCGTGCAGTGAGTCAAAAATTATTCCAGATGGAAGCCGAGAGGAGAGAAAAAATTCTGCACACCCATGTTGATAATCCAACGTGGTCTGCAATAAAAATCGCAAAAACGTTGAAAATCGCCAAATCAACCGTGTATGATGTGTTCAAACGTTTCAGGGAGCGAAAGATCGTGGATCGAGTGCCTCAAGGTAAGCGTCGTAGTGGAACATATGACCGCAAGCTGAACCAGAAGGTGTTGAGAACCGTCAGAGCAAACCCTGGACTATCAGATAATGAAATCGCACAAAAATACGCTGCTGCTTGCAGTACCATTCGAAGAATTCGTTTGCAAGCAGGATATCGTTCTTATCGAGCCAGCAAGCAACCAAACAGAACGTTGAAGCAAAGTTTCGTCACCAAAACTCGAGCTCGGAAATTTTACCAGCAGGTTTTGACGAAGTGCCACGATGAAACCTACGTCAAAATGGATTTCGGACAGCTTCCTGGCCAAAAATTCTACATGGCGACGGCACGAGGAGATGTTCCTGCGAAGTTTAAGTTTGCATTTATGGACAAATTTGCCAAAAAAACTGATGATTTGGCAAGGGAGATGCAGCTGCAGAGCAAAGACCAAAGTGTTCGTGATGAATAAGACGATGGACTCGAAGCTGTACAAGGAAGAATGCCTCAAAACCGCGTACTACCTTTCATTAAAGCCCATAAAGGTCCCGTGAAGTTTTGGCCAGATTTGGCGAGTTGCCACTACAGCCGGGAAGTCATCCAGTGGTACCGCAATAATAACGTAGATTTCATCGATAAAAACATAAATCCACCCAACTGGCCGCAGTTCCGGCCCATCGAGAGATTTTGGGCAATAATGAAGCGGAAGCTTAAGAAAAGTGGAAAAACGGCTTGGGACGCGATTCAGATGACCAAAATGTGGAACAAATGTGCCAAGGAAGTTGACTCTGGAGGCTGCACACATAAAGAGATGGATATTTTCTATTGATATTGCGTTTAATCAACTAATATAAAAATATTTTAAATTATCTAGGACGACAGTGAATGTAGATTTGATCCATTGGCTCCTAGAATCGTCGGATCCATTCATTTCTAGTTTAAGAGGTGTTAGAGATAAGCGAGAGGTGGAATTGGTTGAAGACGCTAGAAATATGCTGGATCTACAATCAACTCATCAGTTGAAAAACATTGATTTGGAGTCAAACGAAAGTAGTGATTCCAATTGAACAGGGCTTTAAAATGATATTAAAATAATTAACCGTTGAAATTCTTTACGAGATCGAAAACATATGTTTACTGAAATACAAATATAAGCAATGAAACTTAATTTTTTATCTGTATCTCGAAAACTATACTACTGAGATTTTTTCGGACTACATTTTTGGATTCAGCGCACGATTTTACATAAGAATCATTGGTCAAAGAATGAAGTTCATTTTGTTTACTTTTATTTGTAAACTAGTGTTATCAATGGCATAAAATTTATATAATGTTATCTTGGGTCTGTGGATACAACGGGTTACAGATGACTACTAGATTAAATGATGGTATTTTCATTAAAGTTTCATCATATTTAGGAGCCGTCTGCCCTTTTTTGTCTCTTTGAAGTTTGTGGATCCTTGAAATTTGCCTATTTTTGAACTGATATTTCCTATAACTTTTTTTTTGTTTAGCCTCAAAAACCTGGTTGTCTTGAGTACAGTTGTGTATTTTATTGATTCTAAATAATTTGCAGAGCATTATAGTCACCAAAAACAAATAATTTCGGAAATATTTTCAAAAAACTTATGTTTGAGGTCCTTTTATAAAAAAAAACGCTTCATAACTCAAAATCGCAAGCAGATAGAGACATAGCGTCTTCTACAAAGTTTTAGTTATGAAGCAACGTACAATTTTGCTCAAGACTATCACCCCTATTCTTGTTTTCGTTCGAGCCGTATTTTCCATACAAAAAAAAGTTTTTCGAACGAAAACAAGAATATGGGTGTATATCTCTATCTGGCCAAATTCAAAAGTTAGATGTTGCAGCGCCACCTGTGGTGAAGTTTTGAACTAAAACTTTACTTAATTCAATGGGTCTTGTCATTTACAAGAACTATTCTGTAGACTCCCTATTTAAAAAACCACTGTGAAAGGTGCTTATGAAAAACGTTCATGGATTTGGCCTTTCGCACCACTGTGCAGCGGTACAAAATTTGATGGAAGGTGTGAAACGTAAAGCTCAACAGTTTGCATTTGTTAAATCGAAAGCCTAAGCAAATATTTTTTCAGTATTTCGTCAATGTACTTCAAAAAGAAATAAAGTTTGATCATTTATACAATAACATACTCAGTGTGCACTTAAGGGGGTAGTCCACTCTGGAAATTTCAAAAAATCTTTTTTTTTGCTGAACAGATACTTTGGAATGTCTACTTTGACATAGACTTGACCGCAAGTCCGCAAGTGACATCGTTCCAGTTATAGGCCGATTAGTGGACTCGTGTCCAGACGCTCCAAGCGTGCTCAGGTGAGCGCTCGGAGTACCCGCCCGTTACCGGCGAAACGGCGTGTCTTAGTAGTTCCAACTGCTGCCGCGATTATCTCTAAACGATGTTTTCAAAATTGGCGGACGCTGTATTTTAGGAACGGCTCATTCGATTTAAACGGCGATTGAATTTTCGAGCTAAGTACCTTTTTTTCTAGTCTTGTACGTAGCCGATTTTCAAAAGAATCAAAAATGGATTTTTGGTGCAAGCTTTTATCTCCAATTTAAGGGTACAAAAATGGACTGTTTTTTTTTCAAAACGCTGCCAAATTTTTATTTTTCAACCAAATCAAAAACGGCTACATACAAGACTGGTTCATCTATCAGAGAATAACCACAAACAAATTCGTTGTTCCAGCTGCAGTGGTGTGACCGCCAGACGTCCCGCCCCGCGACGACTCAGACGGGAGGTCTCCTGGGGAACCTGGTGCAGCGGCTACAGGAGACATCCAATCGCACCAAAAAAAAAATCTCAATTAAAGAGAACATTTCAATTGACAAAACCATGCATTCCTTTTTTTGAATTGATCGTTATTTACCCTCAAAAAAACATTCGTGAAAATGACCTATTTTTCATGCCGCCAGAGTGGACTTACCCCCTTAATCATGATTGAACAATTTTTGACCGTTCCACCCTTTACCTGCTCAAATGGAGGAAACTAGCATTTATCTGAATGAATCAATATAATCCAGAGTTATTCCGCTTATTTGAAATATCTGAATAATCTGCATTTAAAAAAAATCTGTAATCTGTACAGACAGATCAAAATATTGAAAAAAATCTGCACGATTACACATAAATCTGTATATCAGGCATCATTGCTTACAGGTAAGCGCTTTTATAAACTCCAAATCGGCTCGTCTCTCCCTGTTCTCTCGAGAGTCATAACAAGCAAGCAATTGATTGGTTGATGACGGCCAAAAACTTTAAACAATTTTGAATAGCTTACTAAAAACACATTACTATAATCTTTACACCAAACAAATCTTACATCAAATTTCAATGAAATGGTGTGAAAGGAATTGAAAATCATCAATAATCGATAAAGTTATAAGCGAATAAAACCTGACACTATTTCGTCACACTTTTTTATTTTATTTGCAACCCAGTATAGTCCTCAAAGAAGAATTCTTGAATGTGCAAAACAAAACTTGAGTGTAGTTCAATTGATGTGTCTGAAATTTAAGACATAATATCTCCATATCAGACAAATCAGGGTCGCATCTAGTAGTAGCAGGTGTGCAGGAGATTGATCCTCCCCAGATCAATTTTCCCTTAGACGACCAGTAGCCATTCGTTTTTTTTTCTATTTCTACTTCATGCCACGCTTGAGTGCTTGAGCTTTTCTTGAACCGACATCGATTTCCTACAATGTACGGATCGGAAAACAATCTTGATCTAAATATTCTACAGTAGCAGCACAATAAGCTACAAAATAATGCCACTAGTTGACCGAGAACTTCAAGCGTAAAAAAGAAGCTTACACAACAACAAAAAACAACAAATAGTTACATTAACGTCTTATCTGCTCCCATCTCATTAGCTGTAGATCACTGTTCTTATTCCAGACCTCTTTCGTACAAGATGCAACATTCTTCAACTATTACCTTATCACATATTTTCGTTCAGCGCGCTGTTTTTTTTTTGCGCTTTCGGAATCGCTTGAACGATTATCAATCTGTCTTACGGAACTCGAAATCATCGAAAGCCAGTGGAGTAATAAAATTTCGGAAAGCACGACGGACGGCGATGACAAAAATCGGCACTTTCCTGATAGCCTTTCCTCGAGCGATCAGAACGGTTCGGCAATTTCGGCAACCGCACACACAAATATTTATTCCAATTCCTCGAACCGCTTCCAGTTCATTGGATTTAATCACGCCAAGCTGGATGGATTAAGCGTGTTTTCCCAGGAACAAGACAGGAAGCAACGTTAGTTAGTTTACCAAGAGCGCGGATTTGGATCGGACATGCTATTTGTGGAGTAGTGGAGCACCTTGAAGTCTTGTCGAGGAATCGGAAGATTGTGTGGCGTTTAGAAGCGGGAGAGAAGGTTGCTTTTTTTCGGAAATTTGATACCTTGCACTAGTAGTGCATGAAGAGCGTGCAGTGCTGCTGAGAAGAACACCCTCCCCAGGGCAGGTTCTCGGTTTTTGTGCAAAACTAAACTCATAATACACAGAGGTCTAGCCGTTCGGTCGGTTGTGTTGTGCTGTTTGTGTGTGATTTTTATGTAACAAAATAGCAAGTTTCGAAACGAGACGTCGTCGTTGGTTGGTAATCGAATTAGGTTCTCCAGTGTGAGACGCAGCAAGCCTTGCGGTGTGCGTTGTTCCGTTGTTCACCGTCGGTTCCAAGTAGGCGCGGGAGCAAAACAAAAACATTGACGACTAGGAGTTAGTGTTTTCTGGCGCTCGAAACGGTCGGGATCCACATCCAAGTGAGCGTCGTTCGGAGGATTAGTTGACGTGTGAGGTGTTTTGGTTTTTAGCGGGACAACGCGATGAATCGGACTGAATCCGAGGATAGTCCGGTCGAAATGACCGTGGAAACCGTGTCGACTACGGCGTCCGATGTGGGATCCATGTCGGATTCGCCAGTCCGGCAGCCGGAGAAAAAGAAGAAAAAGCGTGGGTTGTCGTTTAAGAAGATTAGGACCAACGCTCAAAAGTTGATTCCGGGCAGGAAAAAGAACGAAAAGGACGAAAAGTCCGAGGAGGCTGTGTCTCAGTCGGAAGAAGGTCCTCCGCCATCGCCGCCTCCTACGCCCGTGCTCAAAGAAGTCAAGTCAACCGAGAGTCTTCCAGCGATTAAGGAAGAACCTCCGGTCCTACAGCCGACCAAGTCGATTGATGAGCTCTCAGGGGACAAGAAGGCCAAAAAGGCTCGCAAACCAAGTCGAGCGGCAAGTTTCGTCAAGAAACTAGCCGGTCGTAAATCCAAAGTTGCCCCGAACCCAAAGAACACCTCATCCCTGGAGGATGAAAACTCCGCCTCAACGTCCGAGACTCCGCTGAGCATCAAGAGACGAACCCCGGAGGGAGCCAATCTCAGCGTGTCCGAGACCAGTCTTTACGAGGGCGATAAGCCCAGTGACAGTTTCAAAATCGAACAACTCGATAGTGAACCCAAAGTGGTGCGAACCATTTCGCCGAAAAAGACCGAAATGAAAATCACTTTGGTCAACGAACAGGCAGAAAGTGTCGCCAGGGCAGGCGATGGGAGTTCTAAGGCTTCTTCCGGTGTTCAGTTACCAGTGACTGCGTCGGCTTCGGTCGCCACCACTGCTGACGCCGAATCGCCTTCATCGGCTTCGTCATCATCGACGAGCGGCGTTGATAAAGAGAACCTCGTCTCAGTCGCAAGTGTTGGTGAATCGAAGACAGTCGCACCCGGTCCCACTGCCGCCTCGATTGATTCTAATAAACCAATTAGTGTTTCACGTTCATCAAAAGTACTCACAACCGCCATCGAGGACAACGTGGCCATTTCCTCCAACAAGGAGATCACCATCAGCTCTCTGCTCAGCGGTGACTATATTGCCGAAATCAATAAAATATCAATCGACAAAATTAGCACCGTCGTGCCGAACAACGATCAGCCACCGCTTACTACGCGCGAGAAATTTTACCAATCTGTTCCTTCGCAGGCGGTGATCGCAGCAACCAACAACGGCTCGCTCTCCCTCCGAGAGGAAAAGGAAAACGTGTCCGAAACGTTCGAAGTAGTGAATGACAACGTGGTAAAATCCCCCGCGCCAAAAATACCCCCGGAATCGACCACCGAAAAGCTGAAAAACATTTTTATGAAGAAGGACACTCAGAAAAAGACCTCCGCTGCCACTACCACCAGCACCACCTCCCAGCCAGAACCAACTCCGATCCTGACCACCGTCCGCACACAGGAAGCCGCCAAGCCCTATCAACTTGGAAACAACATCAAAAACCCCAATCTTTCCGGATTTAAGGAAACTGCCATCGAGGACAGTAAACCTTCCTCTTCAACAGACGGCGAGGGTGGTGGCGGTGATGCAATAGTGTTCGACATCGGCAGCAAAGTTCGCCCGGATCGTACGTCCAGTGTCAAGCCAGCGAAGTCGACGCTCCTCACACCTACTATCGGGGTGGTTGCGGCAGTGGACAGTGTAGTATCCCCATCCGGGACCTTCAATCAATCCAAATCACTCGAAGAGTACGGTTCTCTGGAGGCACGGGGATCCTCATTCGACGAAAGTCCACTGAGTGAGAACTCCAGGCGCAGGATTGCGTACGTTGCTCAGCCCACGTTGTTCACCCCGGAAGAGGAGGAACTGGTTACCGGAAGGCCGTCGCTGTTGTCCAGTGCTGCCGGAAGCTCGCTGGAGTCGGGTGATTTTCTCGAGAACAAAATGTCGCCGCATGGTGATTTGCTGCTGGAGAAGGGTGAAAACTTGGTGAGTGTGCTTTGGGGTGCGGTTCCGGGATGGTGGCATTGGTTATTAATTTGATAACGGTTAATTTGGGTGATGTGTGGTGAATTTGGTGATCGTATTTATAGAAGCTACAGACAATTTGGTGATAACGGGATGGGATGTTGGTGTAGATATTTGCTCATATTTTGAATGAGGATTGGATTTTTTGTGACGGCGGGATGTGATCCAAAGGATGCTTTGAAAGTGCTGGGTGTAAAATTTAGTAATCGTGATTGCAGAAAACGAAACCATGCGTGCTGATTTTCTAAACAATAGGTTTGAAGTCCCAAATGTCAGCCATAGTGTCTATAATATCGAGCCCATGCATTCATTCCAATGGGGCATTTTTGGTGACGTTCTCATTAACAATCAAACACACTGAGTGGAAACTATATGTCTGAAAAATCAAGGAAATTATCAGGGAATTTAAAAAGGACCTGGAAAAATCCTTTAATTGTTAGAGAATGTTTTTACAAATCAGGGATTTTTTAGAAAGTAAGTTCAATCAGTTTCTATTAATTGCCATCAACTCTCGCTAACTCGCCGGTAATCCACCCAAGTAATAGTTCAGCAACCATTTAGCATCCACTCTGATTTATGATCATTTTATGATGGTTTTATGACGGCATTTGGATTGTTTCATCTAGTTTAACTACGTCTGGCGCGAAAGTCAAAAACTGTCTTGTTTTAAAAATAAATTTAAAGCAGCTCTCAATCCCTCCAAATTGTTATTTAATTCAATCATAAACTTCATTAGTAATTGTTTATTAATGTCTTGATAGAAAAGTCCATACACGTGTTCTGTAATTTTAAAAGCAAACATAGAACCATTAGGTTTTAAATGAGAGTAAAAGCATATATTTTTGCTTTCCAGGTTTTTACAGTGTATAATGAAATCCCCAATTAGGGTAGAGCGCTACTTCGTCTTAATTACCCATTTTCGTTCTATCAAGCAGAAAAGATACATAATATCAATGATTTCACCGTGAACAAATCAATAATAGGTTTGCTCCGATGCGTTAGTTCATTAGCAACAACATAAATCTCGATGAACATTTCAAAAGGTCCCATCTGCTTTGATCGATTCTCTTCATCGGCTTTCTCTTTTCATAACCACTGCTATGCAAACAGATTTCGCGCTAATTCTACCACATAGTTTGATTAAGAAAGTTCTTATCTAACGTCCAAAACGTCAAATACATCAGGGAAAGGTTTTGCAGCTGAGTTATTGACGAAAGAGAAAGTCGATGAAGAGAATCGATCAATGCAGATAGGACCTTTTGAAATGTTTATCTAGAAATCCTGTTAGAGCGCTTTGTATGAATACAGTCAGGAATCCTTATTGCCGGGGTAACGGGGGCGTGAATAAGGAACCGCGAATAAGGACACCCAACGGCTTATGGGATTTTCACTAATGGGGGCTGTAGTGGATTATCTCATTTGTATCAATACATAAAGCTATACTGTCTTCGACAAAGTTGCTGTACTGGGTTAGATCAACAAGCCTGTGCCATTGGATTCAGGTTAAATTGGGAACTACGCCGCTAGAGGCGCTTCACTTTTATGTTATTTATGACGGGCGCTATATTATATGGATCATATTTCCAACATAGAATATTTTGTGATCCTGGCCATATAGAAGGTTACTGTCTTCAGCAAAGTTGTTCAGGTGACTAAGTCCTTTCGGATGATGGTCATATTTTTTCAGAACTCTCACACTACGCGGCGCTAGTGTGCACATGAGCTTCCTTACAGGACAGGAACCGGAAAAGGGATGACGTGTAGAGGCCATCTCATCTCCTATCGGAAAATACCCATGTTGTTGGGTATTTGACAGTTTTTCTTGAACCGATGGCAACCATCTTGGATTCCAAAATGGCATCTGACATCGATTTCCGGCCTTTATGTATTGAAACAAATGAGATAATCCACTACAATCCCCATTAGTGAAAATCCCATAAGCTGTGGGTATCCTTATTCGTGGATAGCACGGCAATAAGGATCCGGCAATAAGGATTCCTGACTGTATTTACGCTCATTGTTCTCAAAACAAAAGAAGCGCTCATAGCAAAATCTAATGGCGTTTCAATGCGTTAGGACAGAATTGAAACTCGTAGGACGAATTTAGAATCAAGAAGCAGTTCGAGATTTTAAACAATATCTCAACAATTTGTTGCTCTTTATCAAATCTAGCAATATGTATGGAACGGTGAATAAATTTAGAAGTCATCTTTGACATAAATATTCCAATTTTTTATCAAACCCGTTCAGAAAAGAGAGGTAAAGCGCGGGTTGTGCTTAGTAGGACGGAAATTAGATCAAATCCCTACTCTGTATATAAATTGAACTTAACACTCCGAATATGATGCCTCCGAAAAACGTGGCATAGCTTAGCCATTTATATATGAATTTAAAAAAATGTGGTACCCCTAGAATTTCTAGGGTAGATTATTTTAATAATAAAAAGATTGATAATAGGGTCGCCTCCTTTGTTAAAAATGAAAAGAGTCATTACACGCTTTTTAAAAGGTGTGTTTATGGGTTTTGCAAGTGGTTTTAGATCTATGATATAGATTAATGAGCACAAATGTTCATAATTAGCCAGGATACAGTCATCTTCTTCTTCTTCTTCCTCGCATTTCAAGCTTATTGCTAATCACATATTAGCTTATTGCGTGCTCTCAACTTAGTGTTCTAGATGCACTTCCACAGTTATTAATTGAGTGCTTTCGATGCCTGTACCATTTTTGCATTAGTATAATTTTGTGGCAAGTACGATCATACTCTATGCCCAAGGATGTCGAGAAATTTTCCAACCCGAAAAATTCCTAGACCGGACCGGAAATCGAACCCAGCCACCTCCAGCATGGTCTTGCTTTGTAGCTGCGCCTTTACCGACTGAGCTAAGGGAGGCACCAGGATACAGTCATAGTTCCTACATATGGATCCCGGAAACAACGGAATGGTCCTCGGGAAGATCCGGATCATCCGTAAAACTGGTCAATCCACGAAACGGATCATAAAGCTCCGTGTTTTTTTAACATTGAGATCTGTGATATAAGAAATAATTTGGGGTCGTGACATAAAAAACGGACCCGGATGACCATGCGACCTTCCTCGGGAAGATCCGGAACATCCCTAAAAGTGGTCAATCCATGAAACTGATCCTAGAGCTCCGCTATTTTTTTCGAAAACACTTGGAACTATGATATAAGAAAGAATTTGGGGTCGCGACATAAACATGGACCCGGATGAACATTGGACCGTCCTCCGGAAGATCTGGTGCATCCGTAAAAGTGGTAAATCCATAAAAATGATCCTAGAGCTAAGTGTTTTTTTCGAAAACATTTGGAACTGTGATATAAGAAAGAATTTGGGGTCGTGACATAAACATGGACCTGGATGGACATTTTACCGTCATCCGGAAGATTTGGAGCATTTGTAAAAGTGGTTCATCCATGAAACTGATAATAGAACTTCGCGGTTTTTTCGAACACACTTGGAATTGTGACATAAGACTCTCATATCACAGTTCCTAATGATTTTGAAGAAACTGTGGAGCTCTAAGATCAGTTTCATCGATTGACGTCTTTAACGGATGTTCCGGACCTACCAGAGGACGGACCATGGCCATCCGGGTCCATGTTTATGTCATGACCCCAAATTCTTTCATATATCATAGTTCAAAATGCTTTCGAAAAATCGTGGAACTCTAGGATCAGTTCCGTGGATTGACCATTTTAAAGGATGATCTACACAGTTAGAAATAACTAACTTTACACGTGATGGAATCAATCTTTGACATAAAAGATGAGACGTAAACAAACATGTCATGTAATATTAAGTGCTTCGAGACTGAAAAGTTCATTGCTCGACGAAAAGTACGTTTGATTGAGCTATATCTGTTATGACTTAAATTTATGTCAAAATTGACGCTCGTATATGTCACTCTCAGAGCACCTAAATTTACATGAATTTTTCTAAGTGTGTAGATCTTCCGGAGGACGGTCCCATGGCCTTCTAATGTACATGTTTATGTCACGACCCAAAATCGAATTATATATGACAGTTCTAAGTGTTTTCGAAAAAGCCGTGGAGCTCTACCCAAGCAACACACCTCCACCATAATAAGCTACTGCAATTTGATTGTGACTGAAATAAGTTACATACAGCTTAAGTAACAATTTTGGTTTTATGACGGTTCTGTAGACCACAATTCAGATTTGTAGAATGCTATAAAACTTCTATAAAACTTGCAATGTAAGAGGTAACCACAACTGTTCAGTAACAAGTGTGTTCCTAGGGTAGGATCAGTTTCATAGATTGACCACTTTTACGCATGTTCCGGATCTTCTGGAGGACGGTCCGATGGCCATCTGGGTCCATGTTCATGCCACGACCCCAAATTCTTTCTTATATCACAGTGCCTAATGTTTTCGAAAAAACCGCGGAGCTCTAGGATCAGGTTCGAGGGGACCGTTCTGTTGTCTCCAGATCCATATATGGGAGCCATAACTGTATTCTGGATAATTATGAACATGTGTGCCCTTTAATCTAAATAATAGATCTTAAGCCACTTGCAAAACCCATAAAGACACCTTGAAAAAAAAAAAACGTGTAACGACTCACTTTTAAAAAAAGTAGACGAAACTATTTAAATAATTTTTTACAATCAAAATAATCTACAGACCCTAGGAATTCCAGAAGTACCACATTTTTTTAATTCATCATGAAATGACTGTGTTATGTCAATACAAACTTGCCGTTACACGTTTTTCGGAGGCATCGTAGTTGGCGTAAAGTTTTTACCCATCAAATTCAGAGTGTTAAAAAATGGATACTCATAGTGAATAAAAGCGAAGACTTCAAATCAAGAAGACTGGCAACTCTGCCAGAATTCAAGTGACAGATACAGTAGCACTGCGCTCGAGCGAAGGTGGAATTACTGCATAGAAAAATGAGCAAATTCACAAACCTTTCTT